AGGCCAAAAGCTTTTTGGACTGGGAAGGATGATGTAAAAGTAGATACGAACGCTGGGAGAGGCGAATGGGTAGCTACAGTGAGTAAAACCTAAGGCAGAGATAGATACTGCTCTTTCGCTTTATAAAACTGAAGGTCGGAAGGGTAAGAAGGAGAAGAAGCAGTAGTAAGGAAGGATCAGACAACTTTAGGGCTAAGGGATTGTGAAACTAAGTAATTGAAACAATTTAACTGTCTACGGTTCTCTCTAGTGAGAAATATAGCAGCGGCAGTGGCCAGCTGCCTAATGTTTGGGGTTGAGGTGCCAAAGGCAGAATTTGCTGACTATTTGAAGAACTAAATTTTCTAACCATTATGCATTTTTCGCTATCATTAATTGTATGTTGCATTTGATTTTAGCGTACAGAACGAGCGTTTTCTTAAAATTGGTATAAAAAAGCGCAACAAAGAACTGGCTCTTGAGGCTCTTGACTGTTTTTTGCAATAGTTTTCGAGGTTCTTTTTAAGGGAAGAGAATCTGATTGGCGATGGAAGAGAAAGGTTTATCAAAGAAAATTCCAAATAGTGAACAGACATTTGTTTTTTTACTAGCTTGTCATTCAAGAACCAGTCATAAGAAAATTAAGGGAAGGGTGTTGCTAGTTTTTAACCTCTGAGATTCTTTTTTTTCATGCCACTCTTTTATCGTTACCACAGAGTTTGCTTCTTCTTATCGTCATCTGGAAAAACTAGATGTTTTTCAGACAGCGTGATCTTCTTGAGAAAAGTTAAGAATTTGGAATTATCTGAACTGGCTTTTTTTGGAAATGGAAAGTTAATGTAAATTTAGGCGTAATAATGAACGGTAAAAAGGTTATTTACAAGAATTAATAAGACAAGGCTTGGGTGCGTGGAAGGAAACTGCTGATAGGTTTTGCTTAAATTTTTTAACGAATTTAATTTAAATGGTTTTTGTGGGTCATGAGTTACAATCGTTGTAGGTAATTTTGAAGTAATTTTGCAGAAGTGTAAAGAAGAATAACTGAAGGAAAACCGTAGTGAGTTTCCCAAAATAATTTTCCATCGTCACAACTGTCACCTCGGCAGATGCTGACTGTAAGAAGTGCTTTAAGCTTCTTTGAAGTTTTCGCACAGGTTTCTTATCCTAATGACTTTCCTGTTTTTGCAACTCGAATTCTGCTTTTTTTAATTAACTCAAGGGTTGAAAGGAACTTTATTTTATTTTGTGATGAAATGAATTAAATATTGCTTAGTTTAGCCAGTTGTTTTAGATAGGAAAGCGGAAGGTGTTCAGACGAGTATTTTGTTACAGTGCTCACCATCTAAAATATTCATATTTTTTAGACATCTTTTTGCGCTGCACATTACATCTGCCACAAAGTTGCTGTTTGAAAACTAGGTTGCATTTTCAACCTGTGTCAAGCTTTTCCGCTGCATTAATTCCCACTCCATGTGCTAACGGTTTTTTGGAAATCTTTGTGTCCCAGATTGGCAGATGAAGCTTCATCGTACTAACAACTTTCATTGTTTTTTTTCCCTTGCAGAAAGCCTGATGTGTTGAAATGTCAAACTTTTTGTACTGAATAGTTGTGGCATATATCAGTTGTTTGTCTAGAGTATTCTTCATTTCTTACAACTTTAGTGGATTCAGTGAAGCAGTTTGAGTGGCATACATTTCGGAAGCACTAAATGTTACGAAAACAAGTGGTTTCTCCTTGCTTATCTTTATTGATTAGTCTGTTGTCAAATGCGCGTTAAGGAAGGATCTCGCAGTGAAGCTCGGTATCACTAACAGTGTGGGAAACTTATAGCGTAAGTCGCTGTCAAAGATCAGATAGACCTTGTTGGGTTTGCAGATGCTACTATAATTGCGGAGAGCAAGTATCTTGTTCTACGCTTGCTAAATAGAGATTTATTTATCTTTAAATGTCTACATTTCTATATAAGAACTTTTTCAAGGTGGGGAAAAGTTTTTTTTGGTTCTTAAAAAACTTTTCATTTATACAAAAATTAATGTTTGGTTCACGTACAACCGTTTTTTGGAACACCTGCGGAGACACAGAACCAAAAGCTGTGCAGGTGGTTTGCATGATGTTGTTAAAGTAAGTGAGAGCATATTTAAAAAAGTATTCCCAAAGTTAAAAAGTATTTGATTTTTTGGTTTATGTAGCGATGTTTTGCTCATCCAATTGATAAATTTTCCAGTTCAACACTGAGTTCTCTCAAGTACTGTGGTAGTGGGCATTGTGCTACAGACTTGTCACGGTGTGAAGTTTAGATCAGCCCTACTGCACACTTTATTCTCAGTTATTACCTTAAGCTTTCTCTGGGGAATCATTACTGCATCGAGTTTATTCGGCTGAGTACCAATACTGGTAAAGGTCAGCGAGGTTATATCTACTTGACGATGGAATAACTTGAGTAAAACTTTAAAAAATTTTGTGAGGGACATCACTTTGTGCAGTGGATTAAGTTCTATGTGCCCAACTAAAAATTGTAATCAGATGGATGTTTTTGAACTGACCAGAAGTCGCCAAGAAAATTAGAGCAGTGTTTATCATCCTGAGCTCGCGAACCACGTGAGGAGAGACTGAACTGATGAAACACCGTCTGTGTAGCAGAGACTACAAAACTGCTGTGCGTCGTAAATGCTACTTGCGAAACAAAGGGTATAGCGACGCATAAGTGACGCAAAAAATGTTATTAGTCTTTGCAAAGTAAAGGAGATAGAAGAGACTTGGGAGAGACTGTGGGATGAAGATAATACTTCATTTAGAGACGTTTATAAAAAAGTTTAAGAAAAGGTAAATAAACAGAGAGACTTATGGAGACAGTTATTCATGGGATGGACGCGACAAGTAAAAAGGGAAGTAAAACAACAAATGCTGCCCATAGCTATCTTTCCAAATTTTTGTTGGCCTTTTCTTGCAGAAATTTTGAACGTCTGTCGCACGTCAGATATTACTTTGTTTTGCGAATAGCGAGCGGATGATTGTAATTAAGTCCTGAAGCCCTGTTTGGCCTGTAACTTAAATGAGTAATGATATACTTATTCGTAGTGTTATTTCGGCAACGTAAAAAAAATTAACAACTTTGATTTTGTTTTTCAGGTATTTGTATTTTGCAAGTCAGATTTTTCCGGCGTTTTGCTTTCACTGCCCGCCGTTGTAAATCGCTGTTTCCTTTCGGCTTGCCCAGTACTGCTGAACGCTTGAAAAGAAAATTCTCCTAGTGGAAATGTTGACTACACACTATAATGAACACGTGGTTTTGTGCTGCAGTTGGAAAATTTTTCAAATTTTTTTGGGAGTACGTTTCCAGTAGACTCGTTAAAGGGTAGTTGCCGAATTAAAAAACTAGTTTAGAGGTTATGATACCACTACAAATTTACATGTACATTCAGCATCTAAGAACTCTTTTCTCATTAAAATTTTTGCACTCAGCAAAGTGGAGAAATTTTTGTTGATATTGTCTGAAGTCCTGTTTTTTGAGGCATTAAGACTCTTTAAAACATGCTTTGTGAACTTCCTCGAATTATAGTTCCCGGAATGCCACCTTGCTCTTCAAAGTGGTCATCCGAAAAATTTTTTCTTTAAGAACCCAAAGGAAAATAAAGCAAACTATTGTAAAGAAAATAATGTGGAGGCATTTTTGTTTCATATTATATTTACATAAGGATACTTTTTGGTCAAAAGGGTTTAAAAACTTATGCTAGCGGGAAGTGAAAACAATTCTTTTATTGCACATTTTTCAGACTTTTCTTTGGAGTGCTTTGCTTTTCTAAAGGGTTTTTGCATTTTTTTTTTCTTTTAGATCTGTTGTTTCTGATGATCTGTTCCGGCCTTTTTCCGGTTACATTACAGCATTAAAACCTAACTTTTTTGATAGGATGATTTCTTTAAGTTGAAACGAATCGATATTTCAAATCTTGCTTTCTGTTACTTTTTAAAGTATAATTCTTTTGCTTCTGGTTCCAATCTTGCTGCATCTTCATTATCAGCGGAGAGGATAATGTTTTGTGTATACGCAAAAAGGTGGCATATCGCCATCAGGTTAACAGGGGTAGAATTTTGTGAAACAACGTTCAAAGTGCATTTTACCACAATACCTTAAGTCTTTTGAGAGAGATCGTTCTACACTTCCACCACAGTTAGAAAACAGCAATATGACCAAAGTACAACAAGGAAGTTTTGGGGAAGTATTGAGGAACCAATTAATGTAGATAAGTACTTTCTGTTCTTGCTTCTTCCGTTCACTTGCAAATTCCCTTCTAAGCCGTACTTATCAAGGGAGGAGAAAAAATTTTATTTGCAGTCTCAAATACTGTTCCTTCTGAAGAATCAGGTGGAAAACCACGCTTCAGGAAATACTGACATGGCGTTGAAAGAATTTTAAATTTTTCTAGTTATACGGAAGGACAGCGTACAGTGCAGTCCAATTAGTGACGTCTCGAGAACGTGACTCTCCGGAAAAATGAAGGTGTTGCCGGTTTTTAATTAAGAGTTTGCAATTAATTCTTGAGAGGAATAACCTGATCA